TCTTTCACCCGAAAGCTTCAACCACACCCCCACAGCCCTGCACAACGGGGCACCATCATCCCGAAGCCCCGTCCCCTAAACTCAAAACCTCCTAAACCCTAAACCCTAAACTCAAAACGTCCTTTCCCTTTGCCAGGCTTCAGCCTCGTTCCCAACCCCCTCATCGCAAGGGCAGCAGCACAGCGCCAGGGCTCTGATTGGCCCGTCGAGTGGAGCACGATCGGAAAAACACGGAGTAGAACTCCAGGGCTTAGGCTTTCGGGTTTCGGGAGCTTAGCGGCGGTTTAATTTTTAGGGAACTTGGTTTAGGGCTTAGGGCCTAGGCACTTAGGGAATGCAAGAATGTATCCCCGGGTTGATGGGGCTTCAGGGTTCAGCGTTTCAAGGCTTTTCGGATTCGGGGTTTGGTTTTGAGGGTTTAGGGTTTAGGGTTTAGGGTTTAGGGTTTTCGAAATCGTGTAAGGCACGCGCATAGCAATTACAATAGGTTTTTTGTAAGCAGGGGGGGTTGTATTTTGGTGTGATGTATAGAAACTCGCAGAGTGGTGCGTAGCAGATTCCATCGAGCTCAAAGCGCCGCGGAGATTTTCGCACAGGTTCCACTTTAGAGTACTGTATGGTTGGGGGTTCGGAGTTCCAACGTTGCGTCTACCATTCATGGAGTTAATTAATTAAACGTCTTGTCACTCGAAGCCCTAGCTAAACCTTCGGCAGGGAAAACTTGAAAGCTTTCGGGCCCCGTTACGCAGCCCGGAAACTTTCAGCCCGAAAATATGGGAGTTTCCGAAAATAGGGGACCCTAATATAGTACTCTAAATAGTAGGATCCTTATTATAAGAACCCCAAAATAAGGTACCCCCAATTTTCGGAAACTCCCGTTTGCCTGAGGCAGGCAGCCAGCCGGCCTTTCTCCGCACCAGTCCGGCGTCGCTGCTGGGTCGAGGAGGGCCAACAGTTTTTGTCCAGAATCCAGAGCAGAATTTCGAAGGGCTTTGCTATCTAGGGCTGGATGTTATGCACCCTAAACCCTAAACGTACTTAGTGGCTTTCTTCGGTTCTTTGTGGATCCGCACGGTCTGATAAGGTAATTTTCAGGGCTTCAGAACTGTGGAGCCGAGGCTCAAGGGCGCTGGGCCCCAAGCGCTAGATTGTGCGTGAACCTAGGGTTTAGGGGTTTAGGGTCTAGGGTTTAGGGGTTTAGGGTTTCAGGGGTTTAGTTTAGGGTTTAGGGATTAGGGGTTTAGGTGTAGGGTTGAGGGTTTAGGGTGGTACAGGCCGGTGTTGCAGAGGTTGTTACCAGTACCTTGCTGTGATGAGTTTGGTCACAAGGTGTGCCGACTACTAGCGTTAACAGATGGTACTGGGGCAATTGACGCGATTTTTTCCGATCTACAGTGGTGTTAAACTTCGACAAGCATCATAGCTGCAAGGCTCTGGACCTGCACTTTTTCGTATCTTCCTCAGGACGTCACCCGGTACGATTTAGGGCTGAAGGTCGCGGTTCAGAGTTTGGGGCATGCTTACCAGAGACTGGAGAAGGCTGAAACTCTTCAGCTACCCAGTGGATGAGCTGGCGTCTCTTGCAAAGGCTGTGCCACGCTTTATCAACATCTTCCCCCCGCATAAGTCGATTTCAAGTTTCTATGAAATTCTTTAAACTCGAAGCCGTGAACTCTAAACCTTGAACCCGACCCTGAACATGGAGCCAGGAAATCCTTTGCAGCAAACTCAGAACGCAGGCGGCCTTGGAAAACGATCGCCCATCAAGGGGGTGCGTGCCCTCGCCGAAACCCTAAACCCCAAACTGCCCAAACCCTAAACCCTGAATTAAACCGTAAACCCGTAAACCCTTAAACCCTAAAACCTAAGCCCTAAACCCTAAACGCCTAAACCCTAAACCCTATAGACCCCTCAAAACCCTTATCGCTAAAGCCTTGAACCCACGAGACGCATCTCGTACAATGTAGAAAGCTGGTTAAGAAACCCTGGCCCATATAACCCCAAAATAGTCCCAGACCACCAAAAAAATAGGGCTCATTGAGAAGACCCTCATAAATAGGGCTCATTGAGAAGACCCTCATAAAGACCCAGTGTTTCTTCATCGGGTTCTTGTAGTATCCGAGTACATCCAATGAGCGCGAGCACATCGTACTCAAAGTATCCTGGGATTGATAACACCAACTACAGCACTTGCGACCTCACTTACTAAGTCCCATGATCCTCCCAAGTTTAGACCCTAAACCCTATAGATCCCTTTAAGGAGCCCTTAAAGGAACCTTAGGCTACTAAGTCCCATGATCCTGCAAGTAGGAGAGCAGCGCTTCGGGCACCGCCACTTCGGCACAGACTTCGGTGCCACCAGCTCCCCCGGAGCCGCCGCAAAACCGCAGATATCATAGAGCTTTGAGGGGTTTAGGGGTTTAGGGGTTTAGGGTTTAGGGATTAAGGGGTTTAGGGTTTAAGGGGTTTAGGGTTTAGGGATTTAGGGGTTTAGGGGTTTAGGGGTTTAGGGTTTAGGGGTTTAGGGTTTAGGGATTAAGGGGTTTAGGGTTTAACGGCTTTAGGGTTTAGGGGTTTAGGGGTTTAGGGGTTTAGGGTTTAGGGATTAAGGGGTTTAGGGTTTAACGGCTTTAGGGGGTTTAGGGGTTTAGGGGTTTAGGGGTTTAGGGGTTTAACGGTTTAGGGGTTTAGGGGTTTACTAGGATACCCAGTAGTACCCGTATTCCCTTTTTGTGGTCCTAGGTTCCTTTTAAAGTTACCCAATACCGAAAAGGGAGCCCTTTTCTCTTCCTAGGTTACTGGGCATCCTATTTTAGGGTTTAAGGGTTTAGAGTTTAGGGTACATGCGAAAGCTTCTTGTAAAGGGCTCGTGGTCCACTAGGCCTCTAAACCTCTTATAAACCCTCGGCAGGATCCCGACTGATATACTTGGAGGATCATTGGACTTAGTAAGTTAGGTTATAAGTACCTTATTTGGGGTTATAAGTACAGTTACCGTAAATATAACCGTAGTTACTAAGTCCCATGATCCTTGAAGTAAGACCTAGGAAAGCCCTACAGGAGCTATAGAACGACCCATTTGGGAGTTTCCGAAAAGAGGGGACCTTAATTTAGGTACCCTGAATAGTGGGCTCCTTATTATAAGGACCCCAAGATAAGGTATCCGAAACTCCCATTTAAGAAACGCCGAGCACGCAGAAAACCTAAGCCCGAAGATTCATATAAGGAGCCCTAATGAAGACCCAAGGTTTCTTAATCAGGCCTCTATATTAAACCCTAAAGCCGCTTCATAATCACCCTAAACCAAAACCCCATCCAGAAAAAAAGAAAACTCTAAACCCTAAACCCTAAACCCTAGACCCTAAACCCTAGACCCTAGACCCTAAACCCTAAACCCTAAGCCCCTCTGTCTCTGAAGGCCCGGAAGCCGGGAGTCGGGGGAGCTATCAGAGCCCGAGATTGCGGAGGAGGACGTTTTTGGGTTTAGGGTTTAGGTTTTAGGGACGTTTTTGGGCATGCAGGGGCTACCTGGACCCTAAGGAACCTCCTTTTTAGGGTTCCCCAATACGAGTTCTTTGTATATATAGGTCCTGAAAAAGGTAGGTTATCTGGTGTTAAGGTATAGGCTATGGGGGTTTGCAGGGGTTTGCGTTTTAGGGTTTTAGGGCTTTAGGGTCTTTAGGATTTTACGGTTGTAGGGTTTCAGGGTGAAGGTTGTAGAGCGTAGGGGTTAAGGCCTATGTAGCTTAAGGTTTCGGGACCAGGAACTGTTGTAACAAAGATTTTGGTGAGGATCACGTAAGCTGTTTTTTTGAGGCTTTTGCCAATCTTCTGAGGGTAGGAGCAGTTTTTGTATGTTCACGGGGGTTTGTGCTTTGCACTGAACAAATGGTCTTACATGAGGAGTTTTCGCATGTAGGGGTGCTCTTGAGGCGCGCTCTAGGGTTGTGGGGCTTACAGCTTATGAGGCTTATGTTATGAGTTTACCGACTTAGCACGTTTGCGTTTACTTTTGAGAAGTTTTGCGGATTTTCGTGAAGGTTGCAGGGGGGTTGGCGGTTTTGGGATGTACCTCTGGGCCTTTTGGGGATATATGTTTGAGACATGTGCATGCCGCCGAGATTGCACATGATATCTCAGGGGTTTGGCTTACTTGGAGGATCATTGGACTTAGTAAGTTAAAGTGACTAAAGTGTTAAGTACCTTACTTGGGGTTATAAGTACAGTTTCCGTAAGTATAACCCTAGTAGGTAAGTCCCATGATCCTTGAAGTATATGAACTGTAGCTGATATCTCGGGTTCTTGTCTGGTCGTAGCCGATGTTTCCTGGGAGCTGGAACTTGCCATGAACTCATACAAGTCCATGTGCCTTCCAATCATGAGTCCTGAGCCCTGGACGAGACCTACACCTTGCTTGCAGCTGGCTCGGAACTTGATCCATGCGAGGCTTCATCATGTCGCCATTCGCTTAAGAAGTTCAACCTCGCAAAGCGCAAACGCTGCAAACAAACCCGAAGCGCTATATTCCCTAAACCAAAACTCTTAGGCCCCAAACCCACAGCCGCGATTTCGCGCTCGGCAGAGCTGAGAGCATTGCAGAGGTGGAGATTTGCAACTCGCATCCACACTTGAAGGTCCCACTACTTCAAGGATCATGGGACTTAGTAACTAGGGTTATAATTAGGGTAACTATACTTATAACCCCAATTAAGGTACTTATAACCTTACTTACTAAGTCCCATGATCCTCCAAGTAGCACAGCTAGGCCTTGAGGGATTGGGGCTGAGCCCTTACATGACTCATGACTGGGAACTTCAACGCCTTGGAAGCTTAACCTAGCAGCAGAGTAGGTAACTTTTAGCTTTTTTGGGGTAGTGTAACCCCTATACAACCCTTATATAGTCAAGAAGGTTAACCTCTTTAGTTCCCCATGATACCCGACAAGAAGGTTAAGCCTTAATCAAGCAAAAAAACGCCTACTCTAAAGCCCTTACGGCGCGATGCGAGCTGCATATGGAAGCCTTCTGAATGCAGACCTTTGGTGCGACTCGGTGCAGTTCGCTGGTTGCTTAGATTTACAGAATTAAAGGCTCCATAAACCCTTATTGACCTAAGCCCCTAAATATGACAAGGATCCTGTCACTTCGGCTCTATCTTGCTTAAAGGATCATGGGACTTAGTACCTGGGGAAGTAATTAAGGTAACTATACTTATAACACCGTTTTGGCTTGGGTTTCTGAAGCTCCCACGCTGTGTTCAACTTGCAGCCATTCGGGGGGAGTCCTCGTACGCCCTTGATTGCCAGCCTTGAACTTCCGAGCCCGAACTGTTTTTTCAACTGTTGAAGAAGTGGTGGCTTAGGGTTTAGGGTTTAGGGTTTAAGTGGTGGCTTATCAAGCAGGGTTACTGTCATACCACTCAAATCTTGACCCCTGAAGCCCAAACCATGCTCACATTGAAGTGCGAACCCGACATCTCGACAGGCCTTTAACCATTCAATCTTCAGGTGTTTCAGCGTAGGGGGTGTAGGGTTTAGGGTTTTAGGTTTAGCGTGCCATAACAGGAGTTTCTGTGAGGACATGTCACTCTACTATAGAGGCTTGAAATCACAAGCAGGAGTATCTCCTCCTAGTCGTCCCAGAATCTATTCCCCCCATCGTTCTTCTCTTTGAAGCTGTATCTCTTGCGAGACGCCTCGATCCTGCGGGGAACTCCCCTGCTGCCCAGTCTTCGTGAGAAGCCTGGGGTCGCAGGGCTTTTGAGGCTTCGGGCTTTGGGCTTGGGGCTTTTACAGTGAACCCCATAAAGTTGGAAACCGGATTAAGGCCAAATAGTGCCAACTTTTAGGCTTCTACTGTAAGGTTTCGGGGCTGGGGACTTGGTGGTTTCAGAGTTTAGGTGGGCTTTGATTGTTCTTTTGCGTTCCAGGGTCTGTGGTCGAGGATCCGCTTCTCAGTCTCGTTGCCGTCACGCCTGTGTGTATGTATGACTATGGAGCTTTCTGAGCAACCTCAAATCCTAAACTAAGATCCCTAAACCTTGCAGGAAGCTTACTTGGAGGATCATGGGACTGAGTAAGTAAGGTTATAGGTACCTTAACTCGAGTTATAAGTAGTTATAAGTATAGTTACCTTGATTATTACCTCAGTTACTAGGTCCCATGATCCTTTAAGTAACCCCAAAACCCCTCTTATAGAGCCCTTCTAGATCCCTTTTAAGGAACCCTTTACGGAACCCTAGTTACGAAGTCCCATGCTCCTTTAAGTAACTAGGGCTCGCGCCGACACCTGAAGGCAAAGTTTGCCGCTGCCTGGATGTGGAAAGCTTTCTGGGTTTCCGTGCTTGCCAAAAATCCAGCCAAGCCTCTTGATTGAAGTTTTCTTTCTTGGGCCATGTTACAGTTCCGTCAGAACGGGGGCGATCAAACATATGCACGAATTATGATTGCAGTTCAGGGTTTAGGGTTTGGGATTTAGGGTTAAGAGCTTAGGATGATTACAGCAATGTTCAATTGTTTTCTGATGTTCCTTCTTTCTTGCTCTTAGCCGCTAGCGGGAAGCGATTCTATAACTGAGAGGCACCTAAACATAAAATTTGAAATCTAATTTGCCTACCAAAAGGAATGGGTTCAACCTTAGACCCTAAACTCCAAACTGTGTGCCTTTCTGCGGCCCTCCATAGTGGCAACCCTAGTTCAACGAGCTGCAGGATTGCATCAGGGTTTACTGATGTGGGGTGTAGGATGCTGCTTGTCGCCGGTTTTGGAGTTGAGCTTTGTGATGCTGCCCCTAAACTCTATACCCTACACCAAGTCTCGCGCCTAGGTTTCAGTGAACTTCCTGGAGATCGTCTTCCCGCCCAGGATCGAGAAGCCCTCCCTGGCATCTCCGTCCAATGCGACAGCATGAACTTCAAGACTCACCGCTAAGCCCATGGTTTAGGGTTCCTGCTGGCCTTAGGGCTAGAACATGGCGAACTTGGATTTCGACAACCTAAATGCGCCATGTCCCTCTTGTCGTAAAGAAGAATCCAAGAGGACCCCGAACCCTACACTTTACAAGGCTTTCATGTGGAACCAAGATCCTTTGCAAGGCTTTTCCACGGTCGGCGCCTAGCAAAACATCTAGATCTTAGGCCTCACCTCACAGGGTTTAGGGTTTAGGGCTGCCCAAGGCAGCACTAATGACAGGAGCGCATATAAGAAAAACAAAAAGGACTTGCAAGACATTCTATGGGCTCGAATGCGGTAGCTCTGACCTGCGCCTCCCCAGAGTATCTCCATGAAAGTGATGGCCATGTGCTCATGTGCCTATAGTCCCGAAGGAACCCTGGTAAAGGCCCAAGGTTTTTTTTTTAAATCAGGTTCCTACATTAAAGCCCCCTAAACCGTAAACCCAAACCCTAAACCCCAAACCCTAAACCCCAAACCCTAAACCCCAAACCCTTCCTGCATTACCTAGGTTGCACAGCTCAACCAGCTGCTTGAGGCTTCGACTTGCTTGGGGTCCTCTCCACTTCAAGCAATGGTACTATAGGGGCATATATAGGCTTGGGGTCCCCATAGTAAGGATCCTACTATTTAGTGTACTATATTAGGGTCCCCTATTTTCGGAAACTCCCATATAGGGGCACTATGAGGCTACCTTTAAAGGCATCCTTAAGGGCTCCTCTAAGGGATCTATCCATTGTAGGGTTTGGGGTACTGTAGGGCCCTAAATATTTAATTACCAATGCTATTTTGATGGTTTCTTATTATGATTATAGTATACTGGGCCCCAAAAGCCTGTTCTAATTGTGAAGGCCCCTATATGATTCCCGTGCAGTTTAGGGGTTTAGGGTTTGGGGTCTTGTAGTCCCAGTAAGCAGATAATGCAAGAAACCCCGAGACCCTATGCTATTAGCCACCTAAAAGGGTCACGAGGCCTTGGCTGACGGGTTCACTGCGTCGGGCTGTAGAGTATGTTGGGGCTTGCGGTTGATGAAGGTCACCTCCAGCCGACATGGACTTGAGAAGGGCCAGAACGGCTACCACTAAAAAGGTTTCTGTAGCGCGGAGTCATCAAGTGGGGTCAGCTCGTCGAAAGAGTCTAAGAATATCTCGTCTGAACGCAGGTCTCGCAGATAGCTCGAGATACTATAGAAGCCTAAATAGTCACCAATATTATCCCTTAGGGCTCCTTATTTGTAGTTACAGTGTAATATACCCCCAATTCTTGTTATAAGTATGACGACCCCTATACTAAGATGGGCTGATGTCTGGCGAGGGACTACTCAGGCAGCTTATGGCGTTTGCTCGGGACCATAGGGACCAATATAGGGCCTGAATAATTACCAATACTAAGTTGCGGGTTCCTGATTATAATTATGGTATAGCGGGCCGCAAAACCCGTGCGTAATGATTAAGGCCCCTATACTACAGCGAGCACGATTGCGTGGGTGATTTGTATCCGTAACGAAGTTACGATTATGATGTGACGATGGGGTATGAACATGCCACAACGACGAAGATGATGACATGTACATGATCTTGATGATGCTGATAATGATGATGATGATGATCTCGTGTACTAAAGACTAGAGACTTTATACTTTAGACTGTATACTATGTACTATATACTGTTTTCTATATACTATATCAAACAGTACATTCTATACTCGTTACAATGCGAATTGCCCTACTACGCATTATACTGTACAGTACTAGTGTGCCATTTAGCAAAACACTGTCATTTCGTGAATTCCGGCCCAATTGCCAAAGCAGTGGAGGATTCCCCCGAGCGCCAGCTGCAGCTTCGCTGCTGGCGTCTGGCAGCCAGGCAAACACGTAGGAGTAAGTAGAAGGAGTAGGACTATGAACAGGAGTAGGACAAGGAGTGGCAGTAACGTAGCAGTAGGCGGAGCAGGAGTAGTCGGTGGAGTAGTGATTCTCAACCTTATCGCAATAAGACAAACGACGCCAAAATGTTAGCCGCAGTTCCCCCGTCCCACTATGCAGATTTTGCATTGACAAAGGAAGACGGCAATTGGCTAGTAGTTCCCCCCTCCCACTAAGACCATGCACCCAAATCGCAGCAAGATGCAAAAATTGGCAGAATTCACACTTCCCAAGATGCATATTCTGCACCCAAACGCAACAAGACAAAAGCGCCAGAAAATTGGCCCTCCCAAAAACCAGATTTTGCAGCCAAAGCGCAATAAGATGTACAAAAATTGGCCGTAGGGCCGTAGTTCCCCCTCCCCAAAAAGCAGACTCCGCACCCAAATCGCAAGACTATATTAAATATTGCCGTAATGTCACTCCCCCAAAAAACTGCTACCGCACCCAAATCGCAACATGACGAAGACGCCAACAAAATGCTTTGTGTCGTATGTGTCGTTTTGCAATGTGAACCAAAGTTCCGGCAGCTTGCAATGCGTTGAAGTGTAGCACCCGAGCGTCTTACGATGGTTTCGATATATTGCAGGTTCTCGTTTTGGGGAGTACTGTGCTCCAAAACTCCATTCCAGCTATTATGGCGCTTACCGTACCCAACCCCTCGTCTCAGATTCTTAAATCTTGATTCCTGAGAGTGGCCTTCGATAGGTTGTCGAAGCAAGAACTCATCGACACCAAGGAGGGTGGGTGGTCCCTTTAGGTGGTTAGGGGTTGGGGCTTAGGGCTTTCGGGTGTAGGGTTGACCTGGAGGTTCATGAGTAGCTATAAGTGGGCTCATGAGTGTGGTAATTGTAATGATAACCCATATCAGACATATCAGGGGACTGAGAACCTGTACCCATGAACCTCCAAGCAGGGCTCCCTCCCGCTTTAAAGTTCTAGCGGCCAGATTTTCATGGGGGGTTTCGGGTTTTCGGGAACCCTAAACCCTAAACCCTAAACCCTAAACCCTCTTTCGAAACGGGGCTTATTTCAAGTGCGGTACTAGGGCTCGGAATGTCAGTTCCGGGGTTTATGGGAACCTCTTCCACTGGGGTTCCTATAAGGGATCTTGAAGGGCTCTATAAGGGTTTAGGGTTTAGGATAAGAAGGTGATGTAGGAATCTGATTAAGAAACCGTGCCCCAAAATCCCCAAAATACTGGGATCCTCAAAAAGAGCCCCAATAAGAACCCACAGTTTGTTAATCAGGCTCCTGTATTATCCTCTTGACCCCGGGCAAGAGTGGAGGATATTTAGCTCAAGGTTTGGTGGCGAGAGTGATCAACAGTTCGTTTTTTCAGTTCCCACGGTTAAGGGTTAAGTTTAGGATTTAGGGTTTAGGGGTGTAGGGTTTAACGTTCATCGGCGATCCGGTATGCATAGAACAGCCAATTTCGGCATATAGGCCACATAGCATAACTTCAAACGAGCATAAAGGCCCGAAGAAGTACGAATACTATTTCTTAATATTTCTTTTTCGGGGTGTAATGCACTATACCGTTTCTGCGCTACAACGAGCTTTTGATTATGAGGGTCCCTATACTCCTATATGAAACCGCTACAACATCCCGTACAGAAACGCTCAAAAACCGCATTATAGAACTCTTTGATTGAACCCTATTCTAATTATGAAGGCCCCTACATTCGGGTTTCCGTATCGTTGCATCCTGAGCTCATATTAAGCATGCGGAGCTTCTGCCAATCCCATGCAGAAATCCTGCATGGTACAGTACCGGGTTCAGGGTTTAGGGTCTACGGTCAAGGGATAAGGGTTTTGAATGACCGGTCCGGGTCCTAAGAAGCAGCTTCTTGCAAATGCCATGCTTACTGACCCCAAAGAACCTACAGTCTTAAGGACTTATATAAGGAAGCCATAGTAAGGAACCCTAAAAGAGGGGAGGTTCTTAACGGTCCAGGTACTTTGGACCCTAAGCCCCAAAAGTCTTCCCAAGAAGACTAGCAGCCTCTGGTCACCAAAAGGGGCTCGGGTCCCAAAAGGCCGAAATCCGCAGCGGCCAAGCCCAAGACGAAGAAGGCCTATACAATCAAGACACTTCTTTAAAACATCATAATTACCCAGCGCCCTTCAAACAGCTCCAGTCGGACCTATGTCCCTTGATTGTCAATTTGAAAGCCTATAGAACCTCTGTTGTATCCCCTTAATGTGTGTTTTTTTGAGTCTCTCGGGTGGAGCCTGGGAGGATGCCATCTTGTCCATCAGCCACTGCGACTCAAATCCCTCAGTCGTTCAGCGCGCCCTCTGTCCAGAGCTGCAGCTTCGGGCTTGGGGTTTAGGGATTCAGGTGATTAGGGGCTTAGGGTTCAGGGATTTGAGGTTCAGGGTTTAGGGCTAGGGGCTGATCCTCTGGGTTTCAGGGTGTTGAGCTTGTGGTTTAGAGCCGTGGCTTGCGAGAAATTGAGAGCACATCGTCTTGGGGTGCTTACAAGCGTCTTCGGCAGGTCACTTCGTTAGGTTGAAATTCAGTTGTTGTCATTGCAGATGCCTGTCGGTCCGTCCGTCCGTCTGCCGTCCGTCCGTTTGTTCGTCCTCTGCGTGCGTCCGTCCATCCGTGTCCGTGTGCGTCCGTACGTCTATCCGTCTGCGTCCGTCGGTCCGTCCTTCCATCCGCCCGTGTCCCTGGATCCATTCGTTTATCCGTTCGCCCGTCCGTCCGTCCGTCCGCCGTCCATCGGTCCGTCTGTCAGTCCTTGTTCGTTCTCGTCCGTCCGCCCGTGCCCGTACGCGTCCGCACGTCCGTCATTGTGCCTTGTGTTTGACATCGAAAGATGTCAGTCGGACATCGAAAACCGAAGTTTAACGTTTCCGCAGTTTTCGTGCTTTTTCGAGGTGCATGGGTAAAATTCCCCCCTTTAGCTTGAACCCTGAAGCTTGAACCTGGGCCCAAAGCCCTACAGATCTTGCAACTGGTACTGACACCTTAGACCCCTTGCAACCTGAGCCCTTAAACCCGTTCTCCCACTAACTTTCTCGGTTGCCTCGATAACATTCAACCAAACCTTCACGCCCAGACCCTAAGCCCTCAACTGCGAATCCAAAAAACCAAACATTAATTAATGCCCAGCCCTTCAGCCCCAAACCCCAAAACCATACAAACAGATAGGCCCTCAACTCTAAACCCTAGATTGCAAGCCTGAACCCTAAACCGCCGATGCAACGCCGAAGGTTTTCGGACTGCGTCGAGATCGATGTTTCGGAAGCGTTCTTCGTGGCCGCACTTGGTGCTTCAGGGCTTCAAAGTGCTGTGTATGCATTTCGGGCTTTTGTGCGTGTTTTCTGGCGTTATAAGCCTTTATCTCTATAAACCCTAGACACCGGAAGGGTTACCTGAAGCCCTACAGCCCTAGTGCTTTCGTTTTAAAAGCCTCCGGTTCGATGGGGACGGAATCGCAAAATCGCAAGACCCGAAACGCAGACAATGCTCAGGCTCATCCCCTCGCGCTGGAGTGGGATTGCGAGGACTCTGAGTTTCCTTGATTTTCGAGAACAGTGCTCACCGGGTGCAAGGTTTTAGGGATCGGAGTTAATCCAGAATGAGCTGTAGTGCTGTACGTATCACATGCGAACGGACTGCGATGCCTTGTCAAGTTCCAAGGTGTCACTATAAGAGCTGTGAGCAAGACCATGTAAAGTGCAAGGGAAGGGGGCACGCTACGCGTCCCTCGTCTCTAGGAGTAGGCTTGTGGTAGTGCTACGCACACCGCAATGCCTATCCATCCTTTCAGTATGACCGCCCATGCAACGTTTGGCTCAAGAATGAGCACAAGCTCTAGAAAGCATTGCCCATAGCTAAAGTGCTATAACCTTTGTGATCCTTCGAGTAGACAGAGCTATCCCGTGCACAGACGATCCACCGCCGGCCGTGAGTGTGCAAAAGGAGCGAACGTTGGATCTGCCTGCATAGGAGTGCGTGTGTGGAAGTGGAAGTCACAGTGATCCAGCTTGTAGAAGGCAACCACGCCAACAGTCAATACAGCTCTTTGTGGGGTGAGCGATACAGAGCATTACCAGGATCAAATCCCCACGCAGGTTATCAGCCGTACGCGGCTCTGCCTTTCTGCAGCAAAGACTACTTGATCTACTACGACCACAATGAACTCGGGATCAAGCCAAGATACGACAATGACTTTCGGTGCCGACGTGGCAGCGCCAGCCGTTGGTGAATCAACAGCTGACGACACAGTGGTGCAATCCGTTGATAGCTCCACGGAAGATGACAAAGGTCAATCTTCTGCGCTTGCCATTGCAAAGGCAGTTCCCAAAGTGAAAGCAAAGAGTCTACCAAGAGCATCCACGCCTTCGCGTCCAACATCCACAGGTTCGAGGACGAGTAAGGCTCCAGAACGACGATCCGAAACGTCTGGTTTTCAGGCACCTCGGACTACGTCCAGGGCAAAGGACAAGGGAGTGAAGACTTTGGAAAAGAAGTCGAGACCATCATCTTCGAGAAGCTCTTCAGCACGGTCAAGGACTTCGGCTACTCGTGGGCGTGACAAGTCCATGACATGGAATCGGATGGTTACCAATCAACCACGCGATGCTGACGATCTGGATATGACTCTGGACACTATTCCTGCACGTGGTGATGCTTCATCGGTGACTACGCCAGCCATAGCTGATGGTCCGAATGCCTACCAGGAACTGACGATTTCGCAACAGTTCGAAGCATCGAACCTTGCACAGCAGATGTACTATCGCAGTCAGATGCAAGAGTACGAGAGTGTTGTTCAGACCCTGATGGATAAGATCAAGGAGATGCAACAAGAAGATGAAGGATCTGGGATTCGCATTGAAGAATTGGAACGACAACGTGACCATGCATGCTTAGCCATGAGGCACATCAACAATGTCAATCAGGAGATGAAGCGAGACTATGAAACAGCTTTGTTTCGCATGGATGAACAGAACTCTGCTCAACAACGTCAAGCACACGCCGTTGCCGAGGAATTGGCTCAGCAGCTACATGTGTTCCGCACGGAAGCAGCCACTAACTTTGTGCAGTTGGAGGCAAGAGCGCAAGGCGATGGTGAACTTATGGCACGTGAGTATGAGCATCTGACTCATGAACTTCATGAACAAGCCAGAGAAAACTTGCTCCTTCGGTCGAATACAGCAAGTTCGGAGCAGGCCTTACATGCTATGCAGGAACGATTCCACCTGGTCAGGAATCAGGAGTTGCGGGCCGTAAACGAGATCCAAGGACTAGCTGGAAACAGTGCAGCCATTGATCAAGAACGACTTCGGCTTCGCGAACGTCTTGGTGAGGAGGAAGAGTACCGCAAAATGGCTGTGAGGAGGATGCAAGATGCAGAGGACCGACTTCATCAGAATGAGGATCATGCAAGGCGCGCATTGCCCACCTTGCACGACGAGCTGAGTGAACTCAGGAAAGCGCTCAAAGCACAAGAAGATCTTCAAGCGAGGACACGCAGCGAATTGGAGGCAGCACGGAACTCCAACTACCATGGCGGAGTGACACGGCCTTCGAGCATGCCCATGTCTTCGAGGACTACTGAGTCTGGCTGGGAGCACGTAGGAAAGGAAATAGTGCCTGCATTTTCCGTAGGAGGTGAGGTACGATCCCCTGAAATACGGTCCCCAAGTCAAATTAGTCCAGTCGCCAAAGAGAAGTTCGCATTCTCGGAATCGGACAAGGACAAGAACCTTGCAATGGATGGCATCCCATTTACCGGTGGAAACTTCTTCACTGGCCGCATCAAAGGTGAGGTGAATAAATCCTATTCAACGCCAATCGTGGCGGATGCAATGCCCGAGCACTACGTGCCAGGCATTAGCAGTCCAGCACACGTGCGTTCCACGCCCAGTGCAGCCACTCTGTTTGGCATACCAAGCGGATTTCATGGGCAAAGTGATGCGGCAGCCGTGCGTGACCGACAGCTACGTGAACTCTTGGAGGATCGCGGGATGTTGGGATCGAAGTCCACAGCATCTGCCAGCTCGTCAAGACCTGTTGGTATCGACGGCATTATCGCATCTACGAGGGGCAACGACCCCATTGGTGCCCCTGTCGCCTACGATGCTTCCATCCATGAGGCAAGGAGACGTCAGATCGAGAAAGAGGTCGCGGAACAGTACGAAGAGAAGATTGCTGATCTTCGAAGCGAAGTACTCAAGGCCCAGAAAGCCGAACAACGTCTCAGAGCTGATCGTGATGAGTGGAGATTATTCGCTGAAACGATTCAGGAAGACAATGGAGACGATGACGGTGATGAAGCTGGCGACGAGAACGAAGAGGGAGAGCGAGATGAAGGGGCCGGCACGGGGTATGACCCTCCTGATCCGCCTGATGATGACGGTGATGATAAGAAGAGGGGCGGCGGAGGCAAACCTGAACCGGATCCTGACCCTCATGCGCGTGATCCTGATGGAGACGCAGATCCTGAAGTCACGGAGGTGAGAATTTCCAGGAGAGAAGCCGATAAAGTGACAGTCCCTCCATGGCCTACTCTCACTCACCTGAACAACTGGCGGTCCGTATGCACGGCGAATGTCCTAGGAGCATCAGCCGATCCAAATCATGAGGACTGGATGTTATGGCTGGCACCAGCGTTCAATCCATTCCCTGATGTCGAAGCACTGAACGATTCAGGACACAAGAAGTTCAAGAGCGTAGATGTCAAATTGGGAATCGCCATGGTCGCAATGCTACGCGCTGGTGGTGACAAATCCGCTGATCTGTACCTGGAGGTGAACCGGAAGGCCAACGATTACATCAGCAGGCCCGAAGGGAAGATCATCAAAGGACGACAAATCATTGCGATGATGTATGAAAGTTTTCGAACGCATGACCGTCTCGACATGATCATCACTCTCGAGTATCTGGTGAAGCTCCAGTACCAAGGCGATAATAAACTTCATACGTTCAAGCAGACGTGGTTGGAAGTTCTTGGACGGATGAGACCAGAAGACATACCATCCAAAACAGCTCTCCGTGATTGCTTGTACAGCAAGATCAAGGACTCGCCCGCAATGAAGATGGAGTTGGGCATGCACTACGAGCACTTGCCCTACAATCATGAAGACCGATCGTACGACAATCTGATGAAGATCATCGATCGTACCATCATGCGGAGACGAGAACAATCAAATCTCACTCAGACCCAAATTGGTTTGCGCCAGATGCTTGAGGGCAAGGACTTGCTTGCTGCGCCGGTTAAGGTACCTGAGAAACCAACGCCTAATGCAGCTCCATCCGCAAAGGTCAAGGCTTCGCCTACCAAGCCGGATAAGGCAACACCTGTACTACCTCAGAGCAAAGCGAAGAGTCATGCGAAGACCAAACCAAAGCCCAAGAAGAAGACGAGGAGTGAGTCGGCGGACAACAGAGGCGACAAGAGCAAGAAGCAAATCCGCTGCAAGTTCCATTTCACAGATGCAGGGTGTCGAAATGGTGACAAGTGCCCATTCAGTCACTCGAAGAAGACTCCAGAGCGACCCTTTACGCCGAGGACGAGAACTCCAAGTCCATCTGGAGGAGGAGGAAATAGGATATGCTACTCTTTCAAGAACACAGGCTCGTGCTCAAGAGAGAATTGTCCTTTCAAGCATGAGGCCGCAGCTACCCCAGCTCCGGAACCAAAGGCAAAAGCCAAAGCCAAATCCGAAGCAAAGGCAGCTCCAGCGAAGCCGAATGCCAAGGCCAAGGCACTCCCTGCGGCACCCGCCATCAGATTGTGCCGAAGGTGGAATCCATCAGCCCCGGCTATATGGAAGCGATCTTCAAGACAAGATGAGGAAGAGTCAGATTGTCCATCCGCTGACAGCGACGCTGACTCGGATTGTTCAACCGACGACGAATCCTCGGGACCGACTACGTCGACCCGAAAAGAGATCAAGCGCAACGTGACATTCGCTGACGACGTGAAGTTCATTTCTTCGTGTCCTAGAAGATCGAAGAAGGACAAAGAACGGAAGGTGAAGTACGTCGACATGGAAGCACTTGTCAACGATGAGGGTCGCGCCGTGACTTTGGAATTCGCTAAGCACAAAGCGAGATTGAGGGCACAGATCATGAGAGACATGGTTGACGACGATGATGATCAATGCGGAGATCGAGTTTCATTCGTACGGATCCCAGGAACGTCTCGGGTGGAAGAGGTTTCCTTCTACGACGGTGAGGATTCCATCGTTGAGCGTGAACTCGATGCTGCGCACAGCAAACGGATCATCAATCAAGGTGTGTTCAAATGCATGGTTCAACCAGTCATCCTCAAGAAGAAGATCAAGTTTCTCATGGACACTGGGTGTGGCCATGACCTCATATCTCAGAAGAAGATCGAGAAGCACAGTCTCGAGACACTCGTGACTCCAGAGCCCATATCATTTCAGACAGCAAATGGAATCACCGATACCGATCTTGTGTCGAACTTCCAGACTGAGTCGTTCGAGGAACCGATCAACGCTTATGTGTTGGAGGACACACCGTCGGTGCTTTCCATAGGCAAGAGATGCATGAA